GGCAAAGTAGCTCTTGCTTTTATTTTAACCCTTCTCTCATGTTAATTGAATTGCTTTTATTTCCTTTAATATAGTTGTTCCTTCCCAAGCATAAATACAGTGTTGGAATCTGTTATACAAAGCCAGATCGAGAGAAGTGATGAACCTTTTCTCTGTGGATCTCTTCCCCATTACTCCTAGCACAGAGTTTAAAGCCTCAGGACAATATGTCATCAGAGCCAAGTCCGCAGCGGTCTCAGCTGATACCTTTCCAGCCAAGCCAATATAGTTTCCCTGGGTTATTTCATTATTTTCCTTTTCCTAGCCCTTTCAGCTGGTCAAAAAAAAAAATCCATTTTTCCTTCCATCTGACAGATGTATGTCTCTCCGTATTTCTCAGTCTAATTTTTTTTTTTTGGCCACCTTGCTTGGTTTTATTTTCTTCAGTGCAATTTTGCCCCATTGATTTCTCTCACTGCTCCAGGATTTAATTTGACTCAATTACATTTTTTCACAAGATTTCTTTTTTATTTTCCCTCATCCTTTATACCTTTTTGTAGCTGTTGCATTGCAGTCTTTGCATTTTCCCTTGCTGCCTATTTTGCAGAGCCATGCTTAGCCCGGGTGCTTGAGGGGAGTTATCCGGCGCTGAGCCCCATTTATAGCAAGCTGATACACAGTCGAGCGCTATCAGCATTTCAGGGCATTGCATGTACAGCTCATCACGTCAGCAGCTCTTCCATGCATTAGCAGATATTTCCTGTATTTGGCAGGTCGGGGCAATGGTGGGCTGTAAAACCACCTGCCCGTCTCAGTGGAAGGGCCACAGGATAACACAGTGGCTACAGCAATGGATGTCCATTCTCCTAGCTGTTCTGCAGAGAGCACAGAAAATCCCCAGGCAGGACAGGGCAACAAAATAGGAGCTGCAAAATAGGAGCTCCCAGGAGGAGCAGGAGTTCCTTCTTTTTGAGCAATCTGCAGGCTGGAGGGAGGGAGGACCGAGGCTCACTGGAGCATGGCTTCACATTGGAGGTGTTGCAGTTGGGGACCTTCAGGGGAAGCTGACACGGCTCAGTGGAAGAAGATGCCACGTCTTTGGTGAAGAGATGTGAATCAGACTTTCTGGATGCCCCAGTGCCTTACTCCTAGCAACTAACAGCAGTTTTCATTGCTCTCTAGTCTGGTTTCAACGTACTAGAGGAAGGGTTCATTCACCCAAGGGTCTACACCCAATTACCCACAGATGGGAAGCAGAAAAACGTTGTTCTCAAGTTTCTGAAGAGGCGAGGTGCTTGGTATTTGCCTGTCAGATCTGCAGCAATGGGGCCACAGGGTGCCATTTCCATAAACACAGAGAGAAAGAGAGGATATGTGGGGCTAGGGGGTGCCAGGAGAGGGTTGGAGGTGAGGGGGCTTTGAGCTCTGCGATGCCCAGGCAGGACAGCACAGAGCAGCAGTCCTTGACTCCTTCCAGGCCTGGGTTAGCTTAATCAGAGCAAGCTGATCGCTCTTCTCCCTAACGTCTATTTAATGGCAGTGTGAATATTCCCTGAATGAGGAGCTGGTAATTGCTGTTCTCAAAGAGGACCTGAGAGAGCAACAGTCACTTAAATTAAGTCAGTTCAGGCCCAGAACAACCTGTATAAATAAATATATACCCTCTCTGGGTCACCATGAGGGCTGAGCCATGAAGATAGAAAAGCTGGGAAAGAGCTAAATAATACCGTGCACTTGTCTGACTTATGGACGTGTTTGACAAGTCTACAAACCAAGAAAAACAAACACTGAAGTGGGAAACACAATTTTTTTCTCAATCTCATTAAAAAAAGAAAAATCAAAAATTGAGGGGGAAAAAAAAAAAACTTCAGCTTGGTTGGCTGGACTGTGAGCAAACGCTGATGAATGAGACCTCACGACCCGAGTGCGATGCCGACAGCCCCAAACCTTTGCTCGCCGGGAAACCAAACCCGTTCGAGACCCGGGACGTGCGCGAGTCGCTGCAGCGACGTTTCCCGCGGCCGGTGCCCTCGGTGGAAAGCCCCTCGTGTCAGCAGGCCGCCTGTGGCTTAGGCCCCCGGCGCCTACGCACATAACTCCTGGGGAGCTGCCGTCGTGCTGGTTTTGTTCTTCCCCTGCAAAGCTCTGAGCGCAAGCGCACCCCTTGCCTTTCGCGCTCCCCTTCTTTATTAAAATAGGCGAAGGGATCATTTTCTAAGTGCGTGAGACATATCCAGCCAAAGGAAACAAGTGTGCATTCGCCCGCCCTTGCCCTCCCTTCTGGGTGCAATGACAGCTGGATTTTTCTTCGGAGCGGTGCCGCCTGTCTGCAGTGCCGCCGCTGCCGCGTGCGGAGCTGTCACCACCGCCGCCACTACGTCGGTAACCACACAGCAGTTGTAAAGCTCCTAGAGTTGCACTTGCAAGACTTTTCCGCTAGATCTTCCATACCTGTGACAACAAGAGGTCACCAGTGACCAGCTAGCATCACGCGCCGGAGCCTCCTCGCCCTGCCAGGCTCCGAGGAGCAAAACGTCCCTGCGTGGTGCCACGTGCCCCTGCCTGCAGCCGTGAGACATGGGCGGCGAACACCGCGCTTGGCCGGTCGTGAGAAGGAGGGTTACACCCGCAGGCGTGCGGGACCGAGCGCCTCCGGCGTCACCGGAGAGGCGCTCCACCAGCAGAGGCACTGAGACAATCAAGTGTCCATTGAGTGTTGCAGTCTTCTTCACGGAGCACATATGGATGCTCAGAGACAAAGAGGGCGAGGGAAGAAAAGCATGACATGTCATAAGTTGATTACTACTATTTGTGTCTCTTTAAAATGTTGTTTTCTGCTAATTGTGGCTTAATATGCACCCAGCAGGGCTTTAATTTCCAATGGCAGCTTTCCACCTGGCAGTTCATTAAACCCCCACCATGCTGACTTGCCTCGCAACCATTTTAAGCACCTTTCTATTGCCCGGTGCAGAGCAGAGAGCCAGCAGTGCTTCCTCCGGAGCCGGCACGAAAAGAGCAGGGCTCCTCAGCAGGATGCTCGATGCTGAAGTCGGCCAGGATGAGCATCTATCAAGACAGAGCAAATTTGACAAAGGCTCAGCAGCTGCTCCCAGCGAACTGTATTAATAGGTAGCCGTACTACTAAAATAATGACACGACCTGGAAAAATTTCCTCAGCCTGCACAGCCCCGGAGACGGGCCAGCAGCGAGGGAGGGTGCACGAGGATGCTCGGAGCCGTGCATCCTCAGGGCTTTCTCCACAACTATCACCATGTGTGACTGCAATAGGAAAAGTTTCTTTCGTACCAGCCTTTTCTTTCCTGCGTGTCCATTGCACGAACTATTCCTCGTGCTCGCCACGAGATGGTACTGCAACACAAGTGTTTTTAGTCTGCAATGCCGAACCCTAACAGAAGAATTTAGAAAACACAGTAGCTCCTGAAATGCATTACTAAGCGTGCCTGCATTTAGGGTAGCTGGAAGAGTAACTTTCTGCAGCACAGTTGTGCCTCCTCTTTTCTGCAAGAGCATTTGGCTTAGTTGGAAGATAGACGAATTTCTTGGCAGAAAGATACATTCAGGACTGTGACAACCTCACTGCTTATCTTTTTTGTGCTTGTTTATCGTGCTGAAGCATACAAGCCCCTGCACTGGCTTCAACAGATAACAACATATCATTCTCTGCGTAAATCAGAAAGTCTGTTTTTCTTAGCAGGAGACTTTGTTTTTACTGTGTTTCTTCCAGCCAGCCAACATTCTTGGCCTTAATGCACAAGGTCTTACAGCAAAAACATTTCCCATTCGTCCGCAGTAGCGGCGAGAACATTTGGAAATGACCCTTTCCTCAGTGCCTTTGGACCCAGGAAAGCTGCATCTTTGCCTGATTATTTTTGTTCAGCAGAGATAAGAGTAAACAGAGTACGAAACGTACATTTTCCAAGCTCTCTGTAAAGAGCCAGGGCTGTGCTTTGGCAAACTCAGAAATATGTTATCTTGATAGTAAGTCCAATTTCTTAGCAAATTACTTTTCCTGGGATGCAGGCAGCTCAGTACTACAATGAATAATAACAATAACACTGAATTCAGGCGCATCTAGATTTGCCAACAGAAAGGCAAAGGGAACTAGAAGAATTTGCGATAAGCCCTATCGTATGTAGAGATTTCTTGCAGGGGCAGAAGGAAGTCACTGAACGGTGGTGCTACGGAGCTGGGCCCGGCGGCACTGGTACACTCTCTGCTCCATGCCTAAACAGGAGGGTTCTGGCACCCGCAACTGTCCATGCAGGGCTTTGCATTATTCAGCAAAAACACTTGTTATTTTATTTTATTCTGTGTCACCAGTTCAATCCTATTTTTACAGTCTGGCCTAGAAAAGAGAGATGCTGTCTTTATAGCTATTTTGCTCTTTTTTGATAGTCGGTCATGTCATTACCCAGTGGTAGAAAGCTGCAATTTGCTAAATTGAGAGATCATGTTTTGGAGCTCACGAGAGAGTTCAAGACACAAAAGCGGCCTCTTTGGAAACAAAGCTACTGTCACTTGGCGAAGGACCACAGACTCCGACACATCACCCATCTAGCCTCTTCCCCACGTGGCAAGGACATCCAGCCTACCGACCAGTCCCGGCTGTGATTACCCACACGTGCGCATCACTGCCCACCTTTCACAGGGAACCTGCAGCATAAGCCACATATGTAATTTAGATTATATGTATAGGCAAAGGACAGAGAGAATTTCTCCGACAGCTTCTGGATTGAATGGATCTGCTAGCATAAATTAGAGTTCAGGCCCAAACATCGCTGTGGCACAAACTAGCATGTGTGATTTGCTCATGAGATGTATCCTCAGGCTACATAATAATGACAATAGAGTCATTAGCATGTCGTACTGGTAAGATAATATCATCAGATCAACTAAATGGCAAACTTTGAACATGTTAGTTCAGTTTAATAATCTTTCTATTTAGAACCTCTGGGGAAAAAAACAAAAACAAAAACAGCACAACACAACAAAAGCCTGATAGGACTTTTTTCCCCCCACTTTTCCTGACCATACAATGTTTATTCAAATTCAGAACAGATTTGCCAGAAATTTTTAGCACAAATAAAGCGTTGACTGAAAATTTTACATTTACGAATAGTGCTGAATTCATTCTGATTCATGCTGCCATATTTTTTTATATAGGTAAATTGAGCAGCCCTCAGTTCTCCAACCCGTTTTGGTCTGTAAGCATTTCTGAACTAGAACTAATCAGTGCTGGTGGTCTAGAACTGGTGACTTACACCACTTATTTCAGGCTTTCCAAATGCCAGACTGAATCCTTTTCAAGCAGCACATTTCCAATCGGCAAAGGAACTAAAAACAGGTTTCTGTTACAAACCATCACGTGCCATCAGTCCTATTAACATTCGCGAAATGTTCAGGATTCATGAAGTTTTCAGTATTACCCCTCAGTTTTGCAAACATGGATAAATAATATGTCCCCATGGAGAAGAATGGTGAAAAGCTACCCTTAATATCTGTAAATGTATTTGTGAATTCGTTAGCAAGCTATATGGCGGACTCAAACACAAAATTCAGCTGCAAAGCTGGGCACATGAAGCCAGCAAGAACCAATTTTGGGGGCTTTTGATACTAGCTAGCTAGACATCAGCTTCCTTTGACCCACTCGAGATATATTCATTGAAGAAATGACCAGCTAGCCTTTGAAAGGAAATTACCAACAGCAAGCATCCCCGTTTGTCTGTTCCTCACTACTGGTTATTAAAGAAAACCGCCACTCCAGTCAGCTATGCTGGGCAAACTGACCGCACGAGGGCTGCATGCTGTAGCTGACAGTGGGTGAAATAGAATAGTGAATTAGTGCACATTTCTATAGGATATAATCTGGCCATTTCAGTCTAATTGCAACTTTCAGATAATCCAAAGTGCTCCCATGGGTTTTAGAATGGCTTCTTTTCAAGTCTGAGTATCTGAACTGATTTTTAATTAGATGCATACATCTTTTCTGAGGAGGGAAATAAGCTACATGTGCAACTAATTCATCAGTTAATGCATCCCATCTTACTTTGTAGGAGGATGCCTACTACTCTATCCCTGTGCACTGATGCACTGAAAGACATGCACTTTAAAATCATTCTGAAGTCTAATTTCTTGGCAATGGGATACTATAGAGTGATTGTGTAGGACCCAACAGAAAACGCCACAAAATAAAAGCTCTCCATGGCGAGCAATGGACTGTGCTTCAGGCCCGTTATTGGTTTCCTGAGAAAACATGTAGTGATATGAATAGATGGTACATATCTGTATTTACATGAACAAAATACAGGAGACAAATGGATTTGTAAAGCTAAACATTGTATGCGGCCTGTTGTTTAAATTCCAGTCTTTCATTCTTACCTGGAATATGAAATTCTTCTTTTATAAGAACTGCGGTTAGGAAAGTCCATTTACACTGAAGATATAAAGTAGGCGAATACAATTATCCGTTAAAGTAATTTGCCTTTCTCTTAGTTTCAGAATTAAGGAAACAGAAAACCTTTAGTGTGAGTGAAGACTGCATTTGTCAATATGCTGACAAAAAGAAACAAAATTTTAGGTTGAATTCAATTAAAAATTTTAATGACTAAATGACATTGATAGTTTGAAAGAATGAATGAATAACATATACTGAAAGTGAGATTACAAGTGTAATTGTAGGAGACTGATGCTAATTCTGTGCTGCAGCATCTTAGAGATGGTTAAACTTCAACATCCCAGCAGAGTGCAAGACATCTCCTTCATACTAATACTCTTCCACTTTTGCTGGGGCAAAAGACACTGATAAGCAAGATGCTTTACATTCTCACAAGGAAAATATGGTATAACTGTTGTGACATATGCTGACTGAAGGTGAGAGTCTCATCTCATCAATCAGCTTCTCTTTGGAATGGGAAAAATGTAAATATCCACACACAAAAATAGAATTTAAAAAAATAAAAACTCCTTTAAGCACTGTATTTGTGGCACTAAATTTACATATTATGTCCTCTTCCATAAAAAAGCATCATCAGAAAGAACTTGTGCCAGTTTTGTATTAAAAGGCCTATAGAAATCTCTTAAAATTGCCTTCGTGGTTGGTAGCATAGGTCCCAGACTTCTGTCTTCAGGTCGTCGGGTGTTTGATGCAGGGCTCTTTGTAATCAGAGCTTCTTGTTTCTCACTTAAAGGTCCTGTGGTAAAATAGAGTATTATCTTAATGTATTTTCCCAAAAACGCATATACTGAAAAAGATAAATGACTAAATAAATACATTTGCCAAGAGAGGATAAATGGAATCGTTCATTAACAGAGGTGATGTTTCAGAATATTGAACGCAGACTTAGGTTTGTAAAATAAATCACAGTTAACAAATACAGAAATAATGTGTTTTCCTTTCATATTAATTAATCACATCTACAACAAGCAGCATGAATCATTTCTGGAGGAAAAGATTTGTTTTCAGAAAACAGCTATGGCATTCAGTACAACTTTCTGTCCCTTTTGGAGTCACAAGTATTTTATGACAACAGGAGTTGGCATAAAATCCACTAAACCCACTCATGGGTTGTGTAAACACTTCTTTTTTTAATAGTTGTCAGGGGGATCTAAGTGGTACACAGGTATACTGCTGTCCCATATTCCAGGAGTAAGTCTTAATGTACTTGAGTAAGATAAAAAGCTCAGACTTTCCCAGAGTAAACTGTATCCAAGAAGACGACGCCAAGCTCTTCATCCATTCAATCTGCTACACTCAAACTTTCTGATCAACCAGACCAGTGTTTGGACCAGCCAGACTATTCGCAGCCGCATGTCCATCCTCTTGCTGCTGTCAAATCACTGGGCAACATTCTCTCTGCCAACGTTTCTCCGAGCAATAGCAACAGATGTCTCAGTCAACACCACAAAAATACAATTTCCTCCTTCTCCCCAGCTAGAAATGCAACTTTTCACCATACTCAGATTTAGATTTGGGATCAGTTTTAATTGGCAATGGTATGCATGCCGTCATAGCACTTCAAGTTGTTCAAAATGTGCGGCATTGCTCTGCGCCTACGTAAGTCCACGACAAACAAGCTCGGACTGCCTTCAGAAGCAGAAACCCATTCCGTATAGTAAGATATATCCCTCCACTATAAGTGGTTTTGATTTTTTTTAAATATCATCTTATTAGGACCTTCTAACGTCAATCTTTCTCTCGTCAACCTTCTATGGGAATTTGGGAATTTTAATTTTGCTTGACTCAAAGTAACAAGATTAATGCGTCTTTCAAAGACAGATTCACATGCTTCTGCTTTGCCTTTTAATAGAAGCAAAAATAATCTAGAAGAGGGATAATATAACTCTTTGCACTTCTCTCCAGGCAGCCAGATGACACCTACCTAGGTCCAGAAACTGGAACACCATGTGCATGGTGTATTTCACATTTGATGCATGATCCTCCAAGCGAAGAACTAATATCTGATCTTTATCAAAAACAGTCAACCAGTCCAAAAGATACACAACATAAAGACCAACCTGCAACCTTACCTGCAAGCAAAACAACAAACAAAAATTAATTCATTTACAACACTTTGAACAGTAACAAACTAACATTCACCTCTGTCTTCTGGAAAAAAATCTCAAATGTGTTTGCTTCAGGGATCATAAAAATTAGAAGTCTAAAAATTCTTTGATCTTGCTCATATTCAGTGTAGCTTAAGTAAATCTTTGCAAACGTCCTCTCTCCGGGTAGCAGGGATCTCGTTTTGCCGTGGGCCTGATGGCACCTACTCCAGGCTGCAAAGGACCAAGCCCTCGGCACATCCACCACAGATCTGCATGAAAGCTTTCCCACAGAGCCGGCCGCGTGTATCCGGGTGCTTGGCATGGCACGGCCAGCCTCTTCGGCATTTAGCACGACTCAGTCTTCAAGGAGACGCTAAGAGCTTCCAGCTACTGGATTAACACTACTTGAAGGAAAGATGCTAAGTCTTGCTAACTTCTTCAGGCCCTAAAAAGGCAGTTTCGCAGCTTTCTCAAAGTTATCAGTGAGAAATAAAACCTCCTTCAGTGATAGCAGCTGCACCATGTTGCACTGCCATAGTGCAATGGTAGTAGGGATATTGTGTTGCAGAGTCAGGAATTAGATTTGGTTATATTTGTTTTAGCCCCGAGTGCAATCATTAGATTTAGGGACATAGCAGACTCACCCAATAAACATTCATAAAGAGAAAAAAAGAGACCTTACAGTACACCTTTGACCTAGGGCAGAGTAAGAATGGATTGGCAAGACTTGCTCCTGATAGTTGGCATTAAATATTATGACTAAATTCTTACCTAACAGTACTGAGCAGTTTCTAAGCTGCAATAGCAGGGGCAGCTAGGTCGTGTTAACGGTGCCTTGTCTAACTACTCAGTGAGAGTGCCAGCCACACGAGATCAAGGAGGACAAGCACGCATGTGTAAAGGCCATCTTTCAGCCTGTCCTGACCCAATCTCCGTTATTTTCCTCAATTTTACATAATAAATTTGAGACATAAAGAGGATAGGTAGTCTAGCGCTCTTTAAAGTCCAAGCTCTGACTGTGTTTATAATTTTTTTTCTAAATGCCTTCATGCTCAGAAGAGACAAACATGAATCTCAGGTCAGACGTATCTTTCATAAAAGAGACTTAACACCTTAAAGTCACCTTACCATAGAACTGTGGAAGCCAGGTAGCAACAGTATCTTGTGCTTTTTACGTTGTACTGTGTAACCTGGATTGATACCTACGTTCTGCTAAAATGAGGCAAATTCTTGGTAAATCTCGATTATCGCAATGTGTGATTCTGACGCGTGTCTTTGGCTATTTCCTACAGTAGGCCTCCATATTCAGTAAACTTCTTTTTCTATATGTATGTTGTGTGTTACAGAAGAATTTGAAACATAAGATTATTTAATTTGATTTAAACATTAGCCTAATAGGCATTAGTACTGGCAGGAGCAGAAGTAACGTGGCAGCTCCTCAGCCCCCAGTCAACACCAGCCCGTTTCCCTGAACACTGTGCAAACGTGTAGCTCGCTGCTGTATTCTGCTTTTCTTTCCCCTGAGAGAGATTAAGGTGAGCAAAAGACAAGTATCGGCTGCTCAGTACGGTTTGGGACTGCAGCATTTCAGAGTGCCTAGAGAACGGAGGCTTGGAATCGTTTTTCATAACTATCCACCAGATACAGGAATTTTAATTTATCCCAGAAAGTCATTTTCAGTTTTCTTGGGATCAGCAAGAAACTTCATTTTCTTCCTTATACAGCCTGTTGTATCGACTCATTCGTTGCTGCTTACTGCCCTCCTTCCAAACCAACTGGTCTCCTCCACAAGCTCTGATGCCTCTCCCTATACAGCAAAGAGCAACAGGCTTTCCAAAGCAATCCTCCCCTCCATAAAAGCCACCGCTCAGCTTCAGGGTGCACACCCTGGCTTGGGCTCCCTTTCTCTGGATAACAGGCTTTTCACAGATTTAAGTGAGGATAAACATCTCTTGCTGTGCAGGTTAATAGCTATTAGTAGTAACATAATCTAAGACACTCATTTGCCTTGTTTCAGGAACTATTAACTAATAGCAACACAAAGTTTTTCTGTTGTGGACAAAATTAGCACTATAATGAGCTCACAGGGGAAAACAAATCCCTACTTTTTCAATATACAGCAAACCATGCACCTAACAGATCATCAGCTTGGCTGAAGCAGAAGCTGAAAAATCCACTGAGGAACACGGTTAGTGTTCACGTTTTATTACGAAACCCTGCTTGCGGCTTGCTGGAATGAGACATCTCAAGCAAGCATCGCCTAAGCATTTAGAAAGTATCTTCCTCAAGACGACCATCTAGGATGGCAAATGAGGATGGTTTCTACAGCGTGAGGAAGCCAATGGAGGAAAATCTTTCCTTCTGTTTCTCCGTCTGCCTTTCTCCCTCCGCGCTGGAAGAAACGCGTTGTGTGGCAGGAGAGATGGGTGGCCCGCACTGCTATACCGCCGACCCAAGTCTGGGCTAGCCTGGCTAGCGTCAGCCACCGCCGCTTCAGCCCACCTGCCGAGGTAGGTTCGCCTGTTGGCCGCGCTGCTGTGGGGTTCAAGCCTATGTAACGCACCCTTTTTACGGCTATTTTATGGACCGGAGGAGGCACTACTGAAATTAATTTCTCCTTGGAGACCTAGGAGGAAAGTATTCCCCCTGAACCCTTGACAGCTTTAACAAATAAAATAGGTTTCAGTGGCAAACAGACCAGACTTGATCCTTCAGGTCAATTCCTTCCCTATTACTCTGCAAAAGGCTTTTTTCCCCCCCTCAAGCAAAACTTGAAATCCATTCTGCACTGAAAATGTGAGCTTTGGAAAACTGAGCTTGTAATACTTCCCCACGTCCTCTGCCAGCACTCTCTGTAATTCTTTTTTTTTTTTTCATTTTCTGATGTGCACAATTTAAAGAAAAGGTTTTATCTGGTTATTGGTAGCCTTTTCTTGCAAAAAGAATATGTAATTTGTTCCGATTTTGAGGCAATTTTGTACCACAAAGATCCTTGCCAGAGCTACTTTTTGGAGAGGTCTGCAAAAAGCTTACACATTAAACTGCAATCTTCCCTAAATGTGCTCTCCATACTCTTGCACAATAGGAAGAATGTATTATTACTGCTGGCATTCATCAGGAAACAGACTGAGGAGACAGCTGAGCCAGTGCATCAGCTTGTACATGCTTGCATATATATTTATGTCATCCAATTCACAAACAAAAAAGGAGAAAGTTCTGTTTCTTAGTACTTATTTGCCCTGTGTTTTGCTATATATATAACCTTGACACAACGTACCATTACAGAAGTAAAGAATTAAATGTTATAAGGAAATACGCACGGGCATGGCATTGTTAAGAGTGTTGTTGTAGACACAGGCTCTCAATGAGTAATCCAGCATGCAGTTTTCAAATAGCTGCAGCGATTCTGCCACTTTTTCATGAAAATCTTCCGCAGATTTATTAGCACTTGCAAAGTACAGATAATCGGAGTACAATCTGCGAATGAAATGTATAAGTAAATGACAAAGGAAATGAAAGAAGATCTATTTACATGACAATGCAAATAAGTTACATTAATTGAGAAAAGCGGTACGTATATGTGCAACACTATCCCACTAACAGTCTGTTCAGTCAATGGCAGATTTTCTCTTAATTTTGATGAGTTTTGGCTTAGAGCAACATGCGCTCCAGGGAGCTGCTAAACATCATCCCCTCTTTTAGGCTCAGCGTCTCTTGAGATCACGGCCCTAGTAGTTGTGAGCCAATACATTTCTCCTGAAGACAAACTCTTCAAATATATATTTCTTCTATATACTTCTATTTTGCATTATCTATGAATAGGAGAGCTGGTCTTGGCTGACATTGAGACCCCATTGTATTAGATGCTCCACACGGCCATGGAAGGAAACAGTTCTCATCCCAAAAGCTTATGATCTAAATCGAAAAGAACAGAAGATTGGGATGGGCAATAAAAAAAAGTGATTTTTTGTGTGGTTACCAAACTGGCGGTCCTCTAAAGTTGGAAAAGAATCCTGATTCCCCAGTTTTTGCAGAAAGCTCCATCTCCAATCCCATATCGCTTCTATGTCGACTTTTAGTTAAAGCGCCCAATTTACAATGTTCTGTGTCCTTCTACCTATTTATTTATTTTTTTAACTCAAATGCTGTAACTACATGGACAATTCACAAAGAGTGCAGTAACAGGTTGCGCTGCGCCTACTGCCACATTCCCTAAGCAATCACACCTCTGTTTTGCTGAGTGAGGACTGCAGGGTTTAGGTCCCATCCGTGCTTGCAGTTGCAAGGCAGCAAGCAAGCAGAATATACGGCGTCAGCCTGCTGCTGCGACTGAGAGCCACCAGCAACAGAAACTGCTGAGGACACGGTATTCTCCCTTTCCATACTTTTAGCGCAAGTTTTCCAGTTGCTTAAATATCACCAGAAAAAGATTATTTAAAAACGAGTCAGTTTGGGTGGGGAGGCGAAGGGGCTACAAGCAAGTAAAAGATTTATGTTTATATTAAGCCCTGAAACCATGATTAAAATCTTTCCCAAAAAATCTGGTTCAGGGACAAGGGGAATGCTCTAACATGGCATAAATATAAGATTGTGAATCAGCTCCTGAACATGTTTTATTTTTCCCCTGTTTGGGCTTCTGAACTATGATCAGACCCCAGCAATACTGCAGGATTTTGGAGCCAGTTTTATAGCACTTGAAAAAGAGTCAAGCTTCTACCGTGGGTCTGCAGCTCTGCAGAACCCACCTCTTGACACAGATTTCCAGAAATCCTAGATACCTTTCACCCCTTTCAAAGTGCACAGGTGTCGAAGACATGACTGAAGAAATCAGTTGATTTAGGTCTCATTCTATCTCTGCAATAACCTTTTGTAGAGCACCCACTTTATTTTTTTTAACTCCTTTCAATATTTTATTAAACCAAAAAGTCTGGTCCCTAGATTTCCACAGGTACTTTAAAATCCATCATTTAATTTCGAGAGTTTAGGCCCTAATCCAGCAAAGCACTTAAGCATGGGAATACCCTCTGCACTCATTATTTATGTTAGTGTTTTGCAAGATCAGGACGCTAATTCCCATATGAAATAAACGGACACTCTGTGTTCATTTAAAAAGGAAGAGAAGGGCTACATTTTTTGCAGGATGTTTTCAATTCTGTTTTTACACATTTAAAAAAAGGTCACAGAACATTATAGGAAACGAGGAGGTGGCACCCAAGGGGAGCAATGCTGTCTGTAGGATTCACTGACTAAGAAACACAAAGACTTTATTACTGTTGATGCACAACCAGACATTTAAAAGCAATGGTGCCAGCAGAGAGCGAACACTATTTGCAAACACTTTGAAACAGCAGCCAGGAGAAAGGCAACCTTTAGCCCTGCCAGAGATGCGGCTAAGAGCCTCACGCTGACTTTGGTCCAGTTTTGCCCAGCCTGGCGATCCAGTTAAGGCTCTGCAGAGAAGTTCCCTGGAGCAATACCTGGCTTGCTCAGCAAACTAGCTGCTAGGTGATGGGAGACAGCGACTACTGATCTGCTGCCTGGCATAATTTCATGTGTGCACTGGGAGATTCAGCTGCTTAAGGACCAGAAAATATTGCCTCGTTTGCTCAAGCTGCCCATTTAACAGTATTCTGCCATAACGTACACTGCATGCTGTCCGGGTGCTTTAAGAACTGCTTAAAAATGTTTCTCTAGCCAATATTTGTACCAACTATGTTCTACAGATATTATTTTAATGCTGATAGACTTTAAAACGTTAAACTCTTGTATCGGGAGCTTGTTTCTCATTTCCAAAAGTTGACTGGAAAAGGTAGAAAGTAAGAAATCATCTTGACCCCGTTTCTGTAAATAATTAGGAGTGAGAAAGAAAACAGTTGTCTTTAAATGAAAAAATTCCATCTCAGAGCACCGAGAGAGCGTAACAGGCCTAGAGCAAGCAAATCCGCGCGGGCCTGGTGTCGGCCGAGAGGGACGCACAAGCCCCTCAAAGTCCACGTCCATCTCCTGCAAAGAGCCACCAGAGCACTGGCTGTCCCTGCTCCTCCGCCTGCGGCCAGGAGCCGGGTAGAAGTCACATTTAGGTAAATGTGCCAGCGATTAAACTAGAGCTGCAGTTTGTTTAAAAGGTTTAATCTGTCTGCTTATTATTTCTAATCATCCATTAAAGTAAACCCATAATTTCACAGACTTGCCGACATCTTATGGAAAACTATGCACTTGAAGACAAGTTCTCTCTCTGCAGGGCAGCCCAGATTGTCTATATTTCTTTCCATCTGTTTTTAATTCTGGGGACATCTGCACGGAAATAAAACCTTTGCCGATTAGGATTTCAGCTGTTCCTGCTACTTGAAGTCATCGCCCTCGATCATAATCCATTCCAACTAAGTAACTGCGCCGCGGCAGCCATGTCACCAAGGAAAGGGACATGGAACAAGCCAACCCGGGCACGCATGGGTGCAAAAGCTACCAAAGCAAGTGCAGCAGCCCCCGAGACGGCCGCGCGGTTGTCCAGCGCCCCAAGACCAGCGGTGACGTTGCCCATGGGGAAGCAGGTCTCCTCCCTGAAGGCAGAGAAATGCCCCCTTCCCCAGGGGCCGGGCAACGGGACACCTCAAGGAGCACTGCCCACGGCACCACGCTCTTCTCGGCCCCTGCGAGGACACGATCCCGCTGCCCTCATCGTGCCGGGACGGCTTTTGCTCCCCGCGGTTCACACGAGCTATGAGCAACAAGGGCAAAGGGAGTCATAAACTAAAAGAAATCAATTGACTATAACTACAGCACGGGAGAGAAAGCTCGCTTTTTATCTCACCCTTATTACAGCTGGCAAAGAGCAACATCCACATTACGGAGGATGGTTAAAGCGATCAGGGGATTTGTCGGGAATTTACATGAGAAAGCCACTTCAGCCAGCTCTCTCGCATAAAACTACCATCTGTTAAATCCTGAGGTCAGGACAGGTCGTTATAAGTTGAGAAATGCATCTCCTGACACAGGAGGAGCTCGCGCTGAACACCCCTGCGGAGCAAAAACCGAGGGCTATAGAGAGAAGGAAGGGACTAGTCGCACCCCCTTGCCCTGACCCTCTTGGAGTATAATCATCCTGGTCGGGAGCCCAGGAAAGAACAGCTAAGTAGGTGTTAATCGTGTAAGTTAAAGCTGCCTGGGGAAGCTTTTGTACTAGCGTTGCACTAGGCATTTTTAAGAATAAAAAATGTTGTATCATTTGCTGATGCTGGAGCTATTTGCAATCTTTTAATCATTTGCAACAGCATGCCCCTCAAAGACGTAAACCTTATTATTTACTCCCTTGAACATGAATCGAAGCGCTTCTCAGGGCCACTTATGTTGTCATGTAAGTGCAGCACCATTCCCAGCCAGGTGGGCCCCGGTGAGAGCCAGGGCATATTAGCCCAGGTAACAGAGTTATATTATATTTGGCAACGTACCTCAGGTGTCCAGGCATCGCACTTGCTGCGGTATTTACACTCATGTTCCCCTTTTTAAAAACAGTTTAAAATTCCAAAACACACAGAACACAAATCCTTGAGATTTCATGTTATAAACCAAATAATTCTGTCAAACACTATACGGGCATTTATTCGTGCCCGAGAGAGAGTGAGAGAACATAGTAACAATAAGAAAAGTAATAAGAAGAAAATTTGCTTGCATATTTAGCAATGCAGTGCTTGCTCACCTTTCAACAGGGTCTCTCAGCATGATGATAAGTTTGGCATTCGGTTGGAAGGCATGGATAAAATCCTGGATTAAGAATGGAGGTTCTCCGTTTGTACTGTTATCATAAAAGAAAATCCAAGCGTTGTTGTCCCACATTGTGGAGGCGCTGGCCTCCCCTGGAAATTAAAAAGCATCTCTATTAATAACCCATTTCATTCTTTGTCTTGGCATGCACGCAAATCCTATATCCAGACTTTGAACTGGTGTAGACGACTTAAGAGTGGCACTCTTAATGTCATCGCAAAACATACTTTGCTGGTTCTTACAAATCGATCTGGCTAATGTTCTGCAGAGCTGGAAGACTCTCACTGCCTACTGCTTTTATGAATGCAGTGACAGTTAACGTAGGTTTTACGTAATTTCACCGGAACTATTACTATCCACTAACCACACTCCTTCCTCTTAGTGGTTAACACATGCAAACACATTTGTTTGGGGCTGGAACAGACTGCACAGAGTTTCTCGCCTCTCCAGTCCCGAGGCAGAAGGAACATGTGGTTTCAAAGACCTCCATGCTCTTTGCAGCATCCTTAGGCTACATCCAAGAGTTGTTCTTAATGCTCCTGATCTCAGAGAAGCAAGCTCTAATGAGCTATACAATTTGGGGCAACCGCAGTAGGCAACCTGTTCCAGTGTTTCACAATCTGTGCAACTGGAAAGGTTTTCCTAGTGCACAGTCTACATTTCTTGCTGCAGTTTCAAGCCCCTAGTCTCCATAACCTTTTATATACAGCGTCTTCCTCTCTAGACTAAAGAAGTAAAGCTCTTTTGATCTTCCCTCACACTTCTCTGTTTGGTAGACCTCTGATCATATGTCATCCTCTCCATTGGATTCTAATTAGCTTGCATATGATGACCAAACCTGAACATAGTGCATGTGTAAGCAGCTGTTCTTATCTGAACTAAAGTTAATGCATTTAGACATGAAGACTCTCTTCTTTGCACTGCAAGCCAGTGCCCTTCACAGAAGTCATTTCAGCTGTGGCCAGACGAGATGTCGCTGGAGTTTACAGGCAACACAGGAGTGGGGGAAGACCACAGTCACCCATGGACTGCACGCTGCTGCATAGGCGCGGATGCAGTGAGTGCCACAATCTCAGCACACCTCAAACCTACATTTTGGAGGCAGCAGCTCCCTGGGAGACTTAGATCAACACGTGCGAGAGGCAGCGGGTCGCTGTCCCTGGGGCCAGGCTCTCCACAGCACTGTAGCTACCACGGGATTCCCACCTATCCACCTCACCAGCCCTGCCGACCACAGCATGCTACTTGAGCAAGCCTCCCTCTCACCCAGAAACTCCTCAGCTACGTGAACATATGACGGAGTCCAACTTCTGCTCTGACTGTGAACAAAAGCTTGCTTTCCATACTGGGTGCTTCCTGACTTGTGCAGGACTCAAGGAGCTGTTCTAACGTGGTCAGCCCAGGACAGCCTGGTTCAGCAAGGCAGATCTTCTCAGAAGATGACTGTCAAGGATTAAAAAGGAAAAATAAACTCACTCTGGCCTCTGCTGACCACAATTTTAACTTCCTGAGGCCGCCAAAACCTTTCTTGACAATGTGGCAGTGTTCCCTTTAGCGTTGTAATACAGATTTAATATCTCCACAGAGAGAGCACCATACTGGACATGAGATAAATTAATCACTGCTATAGGAATTTTTATGTCAAATTACTGCAGCACAACCAAAAATATATTAATTTTTCTTATGAACTTGAAGAACATATGACTTACGGAGTTGCCTAAAGAATGAATGCATAACCTCTTTATTCTGTGATTAATGGACTAAAATCATGTTGTGTTTTCACAAGACATTTTTGTGAATTTATCATATTAATGATCACATATAAACAAGTCCTTCTCAGAATGCCTCAAGCTAGATCATCATGGCCCTCTTTGGCTCATCTCTAAGCAGCCACTGTTTTATTTGGGAAAATACAGTCATTACCCACTAAGTAATAATATCCAAAGCAGCTTAATGATTCAAAATAATGTAACATGATGAACTAAAGAAATGTTTATAGCTTTAATTAGATTTCTTTTTCTAATAATCTGAAATAAGAAAATGCAGGATTCTAAGCAAACCTTATCTTCATACAGCACACAGATTCATTTTAGATTAGATTTTTGTTGTTGTTGTTTCAGGGCTTTTTTGTTTTTTAAATCAGGGTCATAAAAACTGATTTAATGAATATAATCATTCAGAACTTTTCCTGTAAACTTAATAAGAAAAGTGAACATAACCTTAATGCTATAAGAAATGAGAAGGAAAAAAAAATCCTGAACTCTAGAAAAAGCTGTAACAGGAGGTAAGTAATCAAAGATGTACGTTGCCAATTAGATTAGTGAATTTAATTAGTATAAGCATTTCATCCAAGAAAGGACAGGACATGTTATTGTAAGTATGAGGAAAATATGCAGAAGCCCTTGACGGCAACATTTTCCAAGACCTCATCTTGCAAATTTTGTTCAACATTGAATACTTAATAAAGCAAATGACTGACCTAAGTGGGGGCTGAGGAAGTATCAGATGAATGTTACTGTAGCTGAGTCTAAGGTTTAAGCTACATAATACAATGGCTTAAAACTTTGGTTAGAATGATAATAAAAATCTGATTCAGAGGGTTTTCCTTCTGAGGGCAGGCAGCAAAAATCTTGCCTTTGTTTTCTGTAGGATAATGACATCAGGCCTATTTTAAAACTCTTTTCAATAAAGAACTGTCTCTTTTGCCCAAATAGTATTTTCATGGCAAGGATCTGGCTTCCCTGGAAGATTTTGAGGTGACGGAGCGAAAAGCAAAAGCAGAGGTTGGAAATTTCTGCTGATGTTTCTCATGAGCGGTGGTCTGATTCCACCTCAGAGCTTGAGAAGAGCCACAGGGAGCTGCTTCTCTGCCATGGCGACTGGATTTCTACGGCACCTGTTTGTAAGCAGCAATACCACTACTTATTTATTACGCTTGAGACAAAACACACTTCGTCGCAGCACTGGAATCTGAAGCTACAGATAAAAAATCCTGCGGCTATACCCAGACACGTCTTAACGAAGACAAAACGAAAATTATGTTTGAAGAAGTTATCGGGGTCTTCTTTTTTTAACTGAATGCTGAAGTTTATCACATTATCTCCAGCATTCTCTAAAGAGAATTGCAACTTTGTAAGCAAAACAAGTAAGCATTCTCCAGGAAAAGGCTAGGAATTATGCACCATCCAGATACAGCAGCCAAAACTGCCATGAGTGGACCAGTGCTGTGAACCACTCGTATTTGGGTAAATGCCCCTCTCATACCTCAGCTACAACTGCTGCAAACCTGAAGATATAGACATCTATATTGCAGAAGCAGTCTCTGGCCTACCAATAATGATGCTGTTCCTCTTGCTGTTTTCTTTTGCTGCATCACTCTGCAGCACACCCTGAATCTGATGCGCTGCTAAGTCAAACAGATCAAGGTAATCTTCCACTGGGTAGCGATCATGAAATCCATCCCTCAGACGAATGATCCCTAAAAAACAGTGAAAAGAGAAGTTAAAAATGGCAGGGCCAGATTAACCAATGGTGTAAAGCAAGACAGCTTCATTGATGCTGGTGGCACTGAGCCAGCTAATGTCAGCACAAAATTAGACCCATGAAGTGTAACATTCAGATAAAAGTGCCAATAATGAAGCAGCTGCGATCCAAGATACTATACGACTAAGCCATAAATTCATACTGATAGGAAATAACTTGAGGTGTTCTGTTGTATAGTTCCTGCATGAATAACTTACATTTATTTACTTCTAAATTCAGCTTTTGGAATTAATATAGAAGACCAGATCCTATTTTCATTTACACCAATATACACTAGAGTAATATCAGACTCTCACTAGATTTAACAGAGAGCAGACTCTGATGCCAAATATGCACTTATCAACATGCACTTATTCAAATCAGAAATCATTCATATGTTTATCTTTCAGAAGTGTGAAAACAAAACTCCCGGAGAGTTTCCTATTCTTCCTCCTTCCCTGCACTCCAGGGTTTTTTCAATATGACCAGCCTCCCCGCAGCGTCTCTCAGCATCTCTGTCTGTGGGTTTTTATACTCCTTTTCCCATTCTTCTTTTCTTTCTACCTGTACTCCTACTTCACTTCCTGCAGCACATTCCCCATGCCTGTCCTTGCATTTTTTCTTCTTACTGTAACACAGTAGAGTTTCTCAAGTGGGGAGAGGTCAAGGAGGTAGGAAGGAAATCAAGGTGGAGCAAAGCTAAAAGTGTAGAGCAGGACTCCTCAGCTCTCCCTTTGCTGCTCCTCCAAGGCCAATAATTAACAGATCTACATGGCAGGAAAGGTCAGCAAGGGAGTCCTCTTGTCCATTCTCTCCGAACTGGATTTTCCCTTTCAGGAAAGCGGGATTTAGTGAGAGTAGAAGACAGCTTTGCAGTGTATTTTGTTTTGTTTTTTCAGAGGGAAACAAATAAAAATTCAACCATGCATGGTGTTACAGACTGCTTCGATTTGGTGTCACCCATTCGTGGGAAAAGAAACTGTGGCTAAGAGCCAGGAAAAACATAGACTGCAACGCTGGGACAAAGCCCTGCGTGGAGCATCAGCCATCCCAGCAGAACGGGAAAGGGCTGTTTTGTCAAATGAGGCGTCCCCTGGAGGGCTGGTTAGCTTCAGCGGAAGTTAGTCACTCTTGCAAAAGTCCATTGAACCACTCCCTGCATCTACAGCAGCACAGCATCCTCCCTGGAAGCTTTCCGAGTCTAAAATTCACTTTCTTCTTCAATCTGACTTTTCACCTTCAGGTCAAGAGGAAACTCTCATCATTTATCTTCAGCCAGCTGCTGGCTGTGATGAACCAATTTCTTCTCCCGGCACTTCAAGAGGCACCACCGTGATCCTCTTGCTTGACTTCATAACTACCACAGCTCCCACAGTTTGCAGCGTTACCTCCACTGTTTCCTAAAGTGGCACTAATCATCTCAAAAGTAAAACCATTTCCATTGCATTCCTTCAACTCTTAATTCATGACAAGCATTTAGAAAATGTCTAAAACATCTTAAAGAGAGTCAGCTGTATTAAAGACACAGAAAAACGTGGCTGAACTCATTTACATCACTAGTTTGACAACTTTATGTGCATATACTAACGTACACAGAACACTGTTACACAAAGAGACATCAGTTTCCTTCTCAAATTAATTTTATTTTCTGTTAATGAGTATTTAAAATATCTATGACACTGGTGATACACAAAACCCATCCAACAAAGATTCACTGATACTTAGCTCCACTGGTCGAAGGCTGCTTTACTGGAAGTAAAACAAAGCAGATGAGGAAAGCTGAGCTTTCTATATCTGAGCCAGCTTTCTACCGCACTACACACAGAAGTGCTGCAAGATCCACATGGGCCACTTTCTCGCAAGAGAAGGAATATAAAGATATATGAAGAGACACTTTCCTATTCCAAGGAAGCTTAGAAAAGCAGCAAGGGATTGCAGTGAGGCAGGCAGAGTCTGCTACCTGAGCTACCGTCGCACAGTGCTAGATTTTTCTTTGCTCCAAAGGCAGTGCCTGTATTACAGCAATGGCAAATCCAAAACAGATGGGAGGATAATGTCACCATAACACACCCAGGATATTCCTGTCAGAAATAGTACCACCACAGCAAGGCCTATGAGCTTTGATACTAAAGTCCTGCAAAGCAAGAGCGTGTAGCAGCAGCACTTAACAGCTCGACCCAGTCCCTACATCAGTGGGGAAACGGAGCACCTGGGGGGACGAAAGACACGTTATAAGCATCCTCGTTTAGAGGAAAGCGCCAGGCACGCAGCCATTTGGAATTGAAACCTGGCCTTTGGAGCCTCAGCCTAGTCTTTAACCACAAGACTGACCTTCTTTAGCTCCTCAGGAAGGAGAGAACAAGAAGGATAAACATTGCAGATGGATAAAACAATCCTCTCAGCCCCAGAGCTCCCAGACGCCCCTGAACGAGCAGCCGTGAAAGCTGAATGTGTCTGACTCAGATTGGCCATAATCTTGAGTACTGCACTCTGCCTTCAGAGACCAAGTGTTGCTCCGTGAAAAACTTGATGCCACTCAAGAAAAGAGCATCAAAAATTACGTGCAGGCTCCTCAATGTGAGAGGGCTTTCTCACGCAAAATAGCTACATTTTTTCAGTATTTTACTAGAGCTGTAATGCTAATGAAGCTTCTACCATAAAACACAGTTAAATTTATTGAATCTTAAGGACTGAAGCCACCCACATTTCAAATGCTGATACCTCATTTATACATATAAGAAAGGCTTTGCATAAAAAGTTAATGTTAAAAAACTATTATCACGATTCTTTACATCTTCCGTTATAACCTAATTGCTCCTCTTCCTGCTTTTCCAGGGTGCACAGGCTAGGTTTTATCTAGTGCTTTTATGTTTTCTAAATTTTCTAAACCACTGCAAACGACCCGAATGAAACGCACGTTATCTTGAAAGATCTGATGCAAAATATCATTAAATAAAAGCAGACTAGAACATATTGAGCATCTGTAGACTGAAATTTTCAAAAGTGTTAACTGCCGTGGTTTCAAGCTAAACCAACACAGAACAAGCCCATGAATTTCATCCCAAATACACACAAGAAATTTCAAAGTTGGACAGAGACCGGTCATCTTAATAGGAGAGGATATGTTTACCCACCAAATCGCTTTCTTGTCCACCAGTGCGGTTCCTTGATTGCCGAGAACCGAACGTCAGGGTGCAACCTGAGCCGGTCGTAAAGGTCTGTTGTCCCACACTTGGGCTGGCCAATAATGTAGAAATGGGGAAGGCAGCGCAGTCGATAGTGTTTGTCCTTATAGTGATACAAGTGGTTCCAAAATACCTTCCTGAGGTAATCAAAGATGGTGCGAAAACGCTTTGAATACAGTGCATACGAGTTTGTTGTATAAGGATCTGTGGTTGTGTTTCCTCTGTACTCTTCATACCAACACGGATTCTTGCTATTTGAAAGGAATTTATTAGGAATTACTGAAAACATCTGCAACATAAAGAACAACAATTTCAGTCAAGGCAGCAAAAAATTTAGTTATATTTTCCTTTATATATACTTAGTATACTTATTTAGTTATATATAGCGTGGTAAGAGAACACAATGGAAACAATATGTGGACATCTTCAACCTTATTTTTCAAATGCAAAGTTGACCTAACTTATTGCTTCTGATGATACTGGAACTAGACCCTGTTCAAAGACTACACTAGGGAGCGTATATTCATAAATCCATTGATTTTAAGGTCAGAAAGGACCTGCATAATCCCCTTAGCTCCCTCAGATTCAGTTTTTAAAGTCCTAGTTGCCAGGACTATCACCTTCCTAATACGTAAGTACATGCCAGATAGATCCCAGTAACCTGCGATTTCAGTAGAGCTTTGACGGCAACATGCAGCCACGCTACAGAGTTTTGCTAGATCTCTGCTGGCTTCTCACTAGACCAGTTTTAACCTCTCTCCGAAATCATCTGCAGAACAAACCATGGAGGCCTCGAGGTGACTCCAGATGCACCCCTGGGGCTTGTCAGCTTGGGCAAGCCAACGGCGACCATCCAGGAGGGAGAGAAGGGTAATGGAGTGGAGAACATGCCTGAGGAGGTATCTGCAGGCAGGGCAGGAGGGAACAAAGCAAGAGTACACGAGCAATTATGGCCCAGTATGTATGTACAGGTTATAAAGAGCTTCTCAGTGCATCGTGCTACCCAGCTGCATGCTCAAAACGGATACCTCTGCAAACAAAGAAAAGGGTCTTACTGGGAAAAGCCATACTTGGACTGATCTGTAAGGAGGCAGTTGGCTCTCCAAAATCTAAAACTAATTTTCCATTTTATTACCCTATTAGAGAGCTCACTGAACTACCACCATTAAGGAAAAACTGAGAAGCAACTGCAAAAAAGTCTCAACAACTCTCCTCCCGCAGTTGATCCAATCTAACTGAAAAATAATTGAAAACTAAAAGACTCTTGTTTCGCCTCACCTCAGTGGGGACCACGTACTGCAGGTGTGTGCCCAAGCTCATTTTTGTGTGCTACAAGTGCAGCAAAATTTGGCAGCAGCAATCTGCTGAAATCTGTAGTGCTAATTTAAAGAGATACTGAAGACTACAAAAATTTATTAGGAGGACTGATTTAGCCAATGATGCAATAATCGGATCATATTAATTTCTAATTTTTCATTCTAAAATACAAGGTTTGCAATGACCAGATCTTCAGGAAGGCTTTCTGGTCGTCACCTATTAGAAGGCTCCTTTCTCATTTATCGGTTAAGATAACTGGAAAATCTGACTAACTCAAAATGAAATTTTAATGGGATAAGCTAAAAACGCAATGCATTTGTACAGCTATTGGAAGGCTGACCTTGTTTCAGGTGTCAAGACCATGTAGATATCTATTTTGCCTGTGACTGGGAAGGATGTGACCTCTAATATCAACTTTTCAGGTAATGTAAATCAACACATGAACATCAGAGGAGTTGCACATTTTTTGTCGCGTTAAAAGATTGACCCAGAATTCTTGGAACAAATAAGTATTCAGCAGTGTCAGGCAAACTTTAGCTCATACTTACATGGGGCTCCTGTTTCCTCAGCTCTTCTAGATCAGGGCGCTGTCTTGTTATAAACTCTATCTTTGAAGTAATAGTGTCAATAATTAATTTAATGCTTGGATAATCCTTTAGGTATGAAACATTAATTTTAGAAGGCTGGTAATGGTCTTTCATATCACTAAGGCTTTCATTGTCCATTAAGCTCGGATTGCTAGTAAAAGCTCCGTAATGGAACGGTGACGGTATTAACAGCAGCCCGTGTTTGGCTCCAGTCAGTACGTAGGATGCCATCACTAGAGTCATTATAATCAGCCCAAATATTAAGCTGCATAGTTTCCCCTTCTTCAAGCAGAAAAGTCCATTCCAGCTTTCACTGTGATCAGTCCTTACTTCCAAGACGGCAAGCAACTTCATCTGCTTACTGTCCGGGTACGAAGAGACCTTATTTTCTCCTTTGCAAAGAGGACACTTCTGGTTACTGTGACTAGGCCCACGACATCTGAAACACTGTCTGTGCAGGTCATTTGGTAGTAAATGTATGCAACAATTAATGCAATGCTTCATATTAATACTGTTAAACCACCGTATTAATGAGCCAAGCACAGCCATAAAAATATTTCTGAAGCATACGAGTCATCTTCTGCCAGTCTGAAGTTACTTAATTCCTTGAGTGATTCTATGAATACTCAGCAATGCAAAAGGCAAGGTTCAAACCAGAAGAGTTAAAAATACTCTGACAGTGATACATATCATATACAGGAAGAAAAAAAAAATAGACATACTATGGACGTGGTTTCCAAGAGTTTGGCTCAGCAAGAGGAACGTGATGAAGTCAGAATCAGCTATAAAATCGGCTCAAGTTTTTCCCATTGAACAAAATGAAAAAGAAGAAAAATCATTACGTATCGTGAAAATATGCAAAAAATAAAAAGAGCTCATTGTCCTCTGATTTATGCTGGAATAGGCAAATATGGGTAGAAGTTCCCAGATACTCCTAAAACAAGCAGGTTCCAAACCAAACTGCTGCTTCCAGACGCGTCATCTTCTTAGACATGGCTTCAAAGTCTTGTGCTGCGCAACCTAAAGAAACAGAAACATATATGCAGATATATGCAGAGCAGAAGACTCAGGAAATATATACATTCACCTTCAATCACATCTCAGCAAAAATACAAACAATCACAAGCAAATTTTGGTTCATTTAGCAACTGTATTTGACAGATATTTTCTATTCGCTAAATGTATGTAATTACAGCACTTGAGATATTAAACCCGGGAAACATTTGGCTGCAAATTCGCATGGAGCTGCCATTTCTTTTCAGCTATCCGTCTGTTCACATAACCAAACAGTTGCTGCTGCAGGTAACCCAACACTGTTTGCTCCCACAACACCTCATTAATCTGCACAACAGGTTCTAATCTGCTCTCGAAACCTGGAAGCCTTTGTGGGGTCGGGAAATACAGACAGGAAATATTTTTGAATCATTTTGAACAAAACAAAAGTAAAAGAATGAATTGGCATAGGGCGAAAAGGTGAAATCTGTGGGGCAATAGCAAAGCATGGCTGCGAAGGGCAATTTTTATTTTGGCTTTTATCACCTGATAATGGCAGAACTTCCCTTTTGCCCCTGGGCACAAAGACTAATTAAGGCTAATAAAGAGCCCAGGCAAACGCACAGGGAAGAGACCAGAGACACCTACGCCTGGATTTCAGACCTCTGGACAGTGGAAACAGGAGCCTCAAAGAGCCATCGCTCCCCGGCACAGGTCCAGCATGACAGCTTTGACCAAGTGCCCTTTGGCCGTGCAAAAAAAGTTATTTAAGGCTTCTTTTTCCAGTAACTGAAATGAACATTAGTAAAAATTGTTTAACGATAAGGCTCCATATTCAGGCTCCTTCCAACAGATGCCACATCCAAGCCAGGCACAGCCTGGATGCAGCTCGGCTCTGCTCATCTGCCTGTAGCTCAGTAGCTTTCCAAACAAAACACCTCTATTGTGGGGGGTGTGGGGGGGGCAATAAAGCTATTTTTTAAAATAAAATAGGGACTGTTGAGCCTGTGGATGATGAAACACTAATTAAATTATTTTTCAGACAAAAATTAATCTGTGTTATAATTAGCTGCACTAAACCAGAGAACCATCTGGTTGCTTCACGGAGCATCTAAATGTCCACGTTCGCTTTTTACTGTTTAAATGAGAGTACATTTTCTAAGTAATCGTAATCAAAATATGAAATAAGAGGGATGTTCAGCAACTCACACCTACCAATTATAACACAAGTCCCAGAATTGTGCTATTTTGCCCGTAGTTCCCTCAACATTTCTTTTTAATTCTGAACAACCATGATATAACTCTTCATAATAGCTGCTGGTTTGTTCCTATAGAAGTGTCCATAAATGCCAAATGGAGCAATCATTTCAGACCCTGCATTAGTCTGCTCTTCTAGCTATATTTCTATATGAGACACCAAAGTCCTAATATAAAATTACTTATATTCCAGGTGTTTCTCCCACCTAACACTGTTACATATTGGAGAACTTCTGCAACCAGTGCAAGCAGGCTATGTCCAACTGGCCATGGGAGTGACAGCTCGAGAAAGGAGGTCTTCGTTCCCCAGAAACGTATAATCAGTGCTCAGGGGACAGGATGTGAGGCAGGCTCCCCTATCAGCGTTAACATTTCTTTTATGTCCTGAGATTCACTAGTTTTGCCTTTAAGAGACCTTCACAAGCCCACCAAAGACTCTTCAAAACATAGTTGTGAAAGGTCTGCAGCGTGAGGAAACACAGGCTAGCATTTATGCAGTGTCACGAATATATGTATTACCCTGGAAATTTAGTGTCCGCAAATTCTTAAACAGATACTTGCCTTTATTTACTGGCGTGGTTTCAAGGACTTAAGAACAATTGTTAAATGTAAATGAAGATCAAAAGTATTTCCAAAATACATCAATACAAAAAAAATTTTTTCTTTACCTAATGAGTTTATTCTGTAAGTCAGCTGAGGCCAATATAAAACACAGCATAATTATTATTGACTATATTTAAACTAAAGGAGAAGAAATTAGTATAATACTCCTCAAAGAGACTAGTCTTTAGGAGTTCTCTAAGTAAGTTGGCATGTGACGATTTTGACAGAAGTCTAAAAGACTAGAAAGACTAAATCAGACTCACGTGTGTAATAATGAAACCAAAAAGGTTACACTTCCATAAACATAAGCTGTCTCAAAAAATCAATGTCCAAAAGAAAAACAGAGCAGCTATGGAAAGCCAAGGAGAAAGGAGGAGCCAAGATTTAAACTAGAAAAGAGATCTCCAAATCTCCAGCTGACAATGACAGCATCAGTCACTGCAGAGATGGCAGACGAGAAAGGGAAGTTCTGAAAGGAAGTGAAACATCTCCATTTGGCAAGACAAAATTTCAGGTAGCAATAAGGCATTTGAGCAAAGGTTCTCACGGAGGAAGCAAAGGAGACAGGAGGAGCCTGACATGCTGTCAAGGCAGACTCGGCCATCATCCCGCCCCGGCACTTACACAGAGGTAAGGAAAGGGAGGTGAAAGAAGCACCCCTGGAAAAAGACACTCCAAGAACTGACTACAAGTTCCAGTGCTATCTATAAAAAGGTCTGGGCAACCAGAAGTTACCCTACAGTGTCAGTACAATTAAATATATCATGTGCCACATTTTCATCTCCATGTAATACCCCTTCAGTAATCCCTTCACCCTGAACTCCTCTAATTTGACATCAAATGAGCATCTCGGTATCCTCCCAGGCCCCTGCTCTTCAGCCCCTTTTTTGTCTATTTTCAGAAGGATATTAGTATGCAGTGTGTATTAACGTTTTTTTTCAATCCTCTTCTCACAAGGGCCTGAAAACTTGCATAATGTTGCTGATTAAACAGATTTATTTGAGCCACTCTTACAGAACAATTCAAGACTTACGTATTTGACGCTAATTCTCAGTTTTTTAAAAAGAACTATCAAAGATAATTTAATGGATATAGAACACAGGACCTGCAGAAAAAACTGCATGAGCTTCCCAGTCCTACGAAATTTATGTCCATTTGTATGTTAATAAAACAGATTGTAATTTATTGAACTCTTTAACGGGTGCAGACACTCCTCACGAAACTCCAGTATAAATATTACGAACTCAAGGAAAGATCAAGTTAAGTATATCTAGGACAGCTGAGGAAAATGCTTTAATAGGAAGCTGATGTATGAAAAGAAAAAAAAAAGAAATATCCTTATGCGACAGTAAAGCCAAGATCTTAACCACACTAGTCATGAAAGTGGATTTAAAGTCCCACCAGCACCCGTAACTCTGCCGACCTATGCACATGCCCTACACTAGGCTGTTTTATTAGGGGAGCAGTTGGAGGACCTACCACAGGACAATGGGACATATTACTCAGCTAATAGAGAAGTTGGATTTTTTTAAGCTCCTAGTCGCAGACATACATTTTCTATTATTTCCCACTGTCACGTTCATGTAATACAAAACTCAACTGTAACAAATACATAAAAGTCAGGATATAACTCCCTGCTGCCACTCCCTTCTCTAACTTTACGAAGAAGTTTTAATTAAGGTCATTCCCCAATCTTTTACTACGAAATGAAGGATGTCGTAGATGCACTGCACACCAGGAGACCAGGATCTTCCCCCAGTGTAAGCAGCCCACATTTCCTTGACTTGGCCACCTAAATCAATCAGTTGAACGTATCTAGTCTTTGCTTCTTACACTCAACGTTTTCAGTAGTCCTAATCACAGATATACCTTACCTTTTCCATATTTCAACGCTTAAGTAGAAGGATGCAAGTGCTGAACAGAAGAAAAAAACAATGAAATTTGAGTTGGTAATAAACAATTTATGTCTTTTTTTATTTTAACTGCAAAACTGCTGTCAGTTCACTGGCAGAATATTACTTGCTTTACACAATAAGCAGTGTCTTTGTATATTCTTGAATAATGTAGCATGTAATTTCCTCTTGTTGAAAGGAATGGTGAACTATTTATGATCATGCCTGCACGGTATTTGCCTGTTGTACATAAATGTATACCAGCTTCAACCACAAAACAGGAATCGACATAAACCTTTTCAGGCTCCTGGACCAAGAGGCAAGCTTCCTTGTAAAAATAAGCCCTGGGAATCTCAAAAGTCTAAGCATGGGCTAGACATTAAAGAAGGCACACAGAGCAGAAGGGGGAAGAAGCAACAGCTATCTTACATTTCAATACACCCCCACCGAAGCCGACGGGACCCGCGCCACTGTTTTAAATTGAAGCAAACTGAAGCTAATAATTATATTTACAGGCAACAGCGGTCTTATTAGCCAACTGGTGAGACTTTCCTTTGCCAGTGTCCTCATGCAATTCCTTCTCACCATACAACTTCTCGGCGTTGCAAAGGCCGGACTGCCAGCAGAGGCAACAGTGAGCACACGGGCTGCAGAGCACTAGGGAGAAGGCTGGCTGGTAATGCTTGGACATGCAAAAACAGCAAAGGGCGCAAGGCAGAGCTGTCTGTAAGAGCCTTGCTACAAACCTGCTGAAAACGGAATATCCACCACATTTTACTCACTGCCATAGAGAGCGCTGTACAGAGTAAAAAGACAAAATTTTATCAAACATGAAAAGAAGCAAGATGTGCCATTAGTCATGTACTTTTGTACTCTGTCCAGAAAACATCCGAAATTTTTACTCCTTTTAAATAAACATTTCAAATAATTCCTCCCCTTTCTCCTACAAAACTGAATGGGAGGATTGTAATCAAAATGACTACAAAAGGAAACTGCTTTCATATGCTCAGTCCGGTAACCAGATTTCTCCTCCATGAGGTACAGAAAGATAAAGCAGACAGAACCGATTAGACACAAGCTCACACAATTTCTGGGCATCCTATTTTTCAGGTCTTCAGTCTTAACATTTAATGTGCTTTCCCTTTTTCATAATTCTTTAAAATAAAGGTAAAAAAGACAATTCTACTAGTACTCTTAATTCTGTATTTTATACTAGCCTTGTTTCTTTTAAATATATTCAGCTTTTTCCTGCTGCCACATGAAAGAGTGGCGTGC